GTGCATGGTGGGTGGTTACTACGACTTCAGAGGTAGCCATATAGGATTTGTCAACCCCTTCACTTTAAAATTATCTACTTACGGTATAAAGGGGTGTGTTCTCATTCCTGATTCTGCTCTCTCTAGAGAGTTAGGGAGATTTACGAAGTTCCGTCACTAATAGTCGGCTTACCCCTATAACGTTCAATGAACTACAGCATGCTTGACTCCAACCAGAGATTTAAATGAAACCCTTTTCCATTCACATCCATTTACTTTTGTTTCACAATCTCCTTCTGTGTTTGTAATTACTCCCACAGACATTTTTGCCTCAAAATTATACCAGAGACGCAAAAACTGCGTGAATTTGGTAAAAGGGATCCCATGATATCACTATAGCTTTACTATAGATCATAAAGAACACTACGTAAAAAGGCAAAGAACTAGAATTTAGGTATTGACGTAAGTTTTACCTATGCTAAGCGGTCACCTTACCAGAATGAAAATTGCAGAAATACGCCATGGATCTCTCCTAGCCGTTGAAGCAGATAAGGGTACGTCTGAAGCACATTGTAACAATTTTATATGCATGCAAATCAAATCAACAAAAGTATGTTCTTTTTAATAGTAAATTTCAACTTTTTGATTTTTAAAGAGAAAGGCAATTCGTTCACAAGCCTGCCAAGTTCGGTCTACCTTGTTTGGGATGGTATCCCGAGTATTCTATGTTGGGTATCAATAAACTGCCCGTGCTGAACGTAACGAGCTAAAACTGTTGCGCATTTCACATCATCATTACATCGATATTAGTATTTTTTGCAGGAGAAATGCTTTAATAATAAACAGGTCTAGTTTCACCTGAGGGATATTTAGCGCAGGCTAATCCTCTACCCACTATACTTAGGTAGCAATTGTTTTGGCGCCTCACTGTCATTTGCTTGGGGCACCCTCAAAGTGAAATTAAGGGGCACTGTCAGGGTACATTCATCTCATCTCCTCCTCCTCCTCTCCCCTTACTTCCAAACCCACCCTTCCAGTCAAGTGAGATCTCCTTTGTGGACTGGTTCATTGTTCACTTATTTGATTTCACCTCTTCACTTCGTCAACACTCCATCTTCTACCCACCCACCCATCCACTATCCCAGCCACACACTCATCGGTCAACACACATTCACTCATTTGCCTTCCTTCGTTGATCTTGCCTCTCCTTCAGTTGAAAATGGACAAATGATGGAGGGAGCAGGAAAGACCCCAAAGTCTGATCAGACATCCGACCCAAAGAGAATGGAAAGTCGTGCACTGGCCAAGTTGACATGACCATACAGTAAAATGGCACAAAATTTGAAATCAGATGAAGGCGGCTCGTCTCCAATGTCGCCAGTCTCGAGAGTCACATCTGCAGACACAAAAGAGGGGGATGTGTCAAGCAGAG